TTTTAGTTTTTTTTCTCTGGAGGTGCATAACTATCACTTTCATAAAACTGTCATACTAGACTCTTGGTTTATTAAAATGCAAGTCATATGCTGTATGTATGTCAATATTGCCTACACTCAAAATGAAATTATGAGACAGTGTTACCACTTCTTTAGCAAGGGAAAGCTTTTGGATTTGAAGACACAATAACACCAAAACAAAGAGATTGGCCTAATTGATTTGGTTTTTATTAAATAATAGCAATTCACATTGCTTTGGAGCAGTGTGAGACTTTAATGAGAAAGCAGCAATTGACAGATAACTAATTTCATCAGTTATACACATGCCAACTAAGAAACATTGCAGTCCTAATAACATTATCTATTGGCCAACGCTCAATACAGCTCCTCTTGCTTTTTCATATTGTCTGTGAAAACAAGAAAATAGATTTTTGTTACTCACATCAATCACAAGCAATAGATGCAACAAAATTGTCCCAATGTCACACAAATCAGCCATGCAGGGCCAGTGGTAATACTGGAATGATTGGATTTAGCACTGAAAGGAACAACACGTATGAAACAGTTCATGAAAATTGAAATGAGGCTCATTCATAAGTGTGCACAGGTGGCTGCAATAATCTTTTGACGTTAGATTTTATGTTTATTTGATGCTGGCTTTTAGTGTACGATAGATAGATAGATAGATAGATAGATAGATAGATAGATAGATAGATAGATAAGATAGATAGATAAGATAGAAGATAATGAGATACGTAGATAGAGATAGATATAGATATAGATATTGTGCACCATTGATTGTATAAACAAAGACAACATTTATTCCATTCATCACACAAATTATACAGAAGAGCATTCAGAAACAATATATTGAATATTAAGTGTATTTTTACCCTGAATATTTGGTGTATTTTACCATGCACATCATTCATAAAATTAAAAGGAGAAACACAACTATATTGAAGAGACTAAGAAACCCCAAGGGTTGTGTAGAACCTAGAAGGAACCTTTAAAAGGCCAAAATTATAAACAATTAATTGTATGCACTGTGAATTGGACTAATGAAAATGATACATTTATCCCTAAAATCTAAAAAGAATCTAAAATTAGCACAGCTGAAAGACATTTAAAAGCACGAAACGTTTAAAGTTCCCTAAACATCTCCCTTGTCTCCATGTCCAGCTGTTCTAAGGAATTGAACCAGTGGGAACCATTGACAGAATACGGCCAGTCCAAAGGCCACTCGAACCCATATCTCATGCTCGAGTGTGCTTGGAGGGTTTCCAATTGGGCTGCAATGAAGGAGGCTCTGGTACAGGTGAGTAGTGTGATGTTACCATGTTAAAAATGTATTCATGTTTGGATTTCTGCACACATAAACACACATGCATGCTTGCTTCTACTGCCTCCCAAAGGTTGCAATAACCCCTAACAGTTTGACAGAAAATAGAAACCATAACCACAAGTTCTCACTAACACAATCACAGACGCAGTGGAGCCTCTAGGCTTAAACCCGGTGAACCAGAGCCACAACTTTTCATTTTATTCCTGGTTTCCGGTACAGTGCTGTATATTAAGCCCAGACCTCATGTCAGTGTGAAATATAGTAACTTGATATTGGGACCGTCCGGCCTCTCCACAACACCACACCCCTGGGGAGAATGAGAGAGCTGGCCGTAAAGCTGTGGAAATGCTGTTCAGCTGTTTGGCCTGTTAATTTATTGGCTTCATGTTTCCTAAAACAAAGTGTAGACGGGTGGCGAGTGTGTGATAGTACCTGACATATAACAAATATTCCTGCTTTGCTCTTTCAAGGAGACTTGGAACCAATCCATTGAGCCGCTCTGTCCTAAGGTGACACCTAATTAAATTGTCTGGATGCCAGTGCCAACTCCGCTATATCCCTTCCTCTGTGTTTCATTCCTTCCTTCCTCTGTGTACCCATTTCTCTTTCTTTTGTCTTTTACTCCTCCAACTTCTCTTCTTTACTTGGTTTTCTTTTTGTCATTACTACCCTCTCTTCTTCTACTTCCACCTCCATCTCTTCATCCCTCGCTCTGCAGCTCTGGTTTTAGCAGCTAATATTTACGACAGCTGTGTGCGTGAATAATTACCCCGGCATCTGCTGCAGGGTGATTTGTTTTATGGTGGAGGAGAAGAGCAAGGCGTTCAGTTGCTTGCCTGCCCACTGCTCACCACCTCAGAGGCAAAGTCCAAATGTCCCCGCTTTCAATTAAAGCTGGCTCTTGATAAGGGCGGCCCTGTCTCCAGGATATTCATCAAGTGTCACCCCTGATAAGTGCGCTTTGACCGATCACTGTAATTTTCTCCAACACCGGAAGAGCTTACACAAATACACACCTAGGCTTTCTCATTCTCATGCTCTTTTTTGTCTTCTCTCGCTTACAAAACAGCAAGCCACGGGTTTGACGTAGCAGGCTCCCCTGGGCTGTTGTTTGTTGTTTTTGTTAATGCACTCAGCGTTAATCAATAGCAGGGCCTTTTCCACTCCTCCACTTCTGTGTCAGACTCGGTTGATTAGTCATTAGTACAAAAGTCCTGCTGAAACCATTCATAAAATGAATTGGAAACAGTATTGTTGTGTATTTGTCCAAGTACTAAATAATGCAAGGAAAGTGTCAAAGGCCCTTTCCCCTCAAATGTTTACATTTAATTAAAACTGCCACACTACCAACAAGAATGTGTGCTATTCTGTTTAACACAGACAAACATAGAAAATATATACTGTACACCAACTGTTTATCTGATTCTAGATATGTCACCAATTACACATTTACAATCACTGCAACTAACCGCTGCCTTCAGTCAGCTCTTCCCAAAAGAAAAATGCAAGAATAGTGCAAAGGGTTATTTTACATGCAGAAATCTACGTTTTCTAGTTGCTAAATTCTAACATCAGTCAGTCTTAACATGGACATATCTTTATGTTTTGTCTACAGGTACACTGTAGGGAAAAAATACATAATGTATTACCTTAAACAAGGTATTTGTTGAGGAGATTGGCAGCCTTCACAAGATTTCATTTTCTCAATATTTTATCTCAGCGGTTTATCCCGTATGCTGCCAGTATGGGTTTCTCAAGAAAACCGCAGGATTGCTTTTCAGCATAGAGGAGGATGATGAAGCTATTTTACAGTGCAAACACAAGTAAAGCTTGATTTTGTAGAAATGGAAGATGGTAGAATAAGTAAAAGGCTGATGGAAAAAACAAATTACAGCACATTTATGCTCTTCAGATGAATGCAGATGGAAACTAAACAAAACTAACACTCAGAAGACGGATATTAAAACCATTGCTTGTGTGACACTAAGCCTCCTGGCCATGATCTGATATTTTTATTGTAGTTATACAAAAGTACACCAATTAATTTGATAGTGGTATATTGATCCTTAACAATATTGATGATTACCTACCATTTACCCTTTTAAAAACAAATACTTGTTATATATTGAGTCGGTTAAAGAAAAAAATCTACTCTAAACTTGTGTTTAAATATGGAAATTGACTTTCTGTGTGAATTTCCAGGTGGAGCTGAGCTGTCCTAAGGAGATGGCGTGGAAGGTGAACATGCACCGTGGCTACCTGGCCATCTGCCACCCAGAGGAGCAGCAGTTGAACTTCATAGAGCGGCTGGTGGAGATGGCCTCGAGCCTGGCAATCCGTGAGTGGAGAAGGTTGCCGCACATAGTTTCCCATGTGCACACGCCACTGCTGCAGGTCAGTATACAGAATGCATGAAGAGGTTTTTATTTATTTATTTTATGAATGGCTCTATTTATACAGACGCAGCAGTCAGGAGTCCAGGAAGAGAAGTCAGTTTATTGTGATAAGCACTTGAAGAGATGCATGTTGAGAGATCATCAGTAGGCCTGAGACGTTGTGCTGTTGAGTAACTGCTGATAACGGCCTCTATCTCCCTCTCTCGCTCCATTTTTGTAAAATTGAGATAGATGATTAAAAAAAAGAGTGCAACCTTTAAGCCTTTTTGATTCCACTGCAAGAGATTACAATAGACAGGGGCAAAGATGAAAAAGGAGAAGGAGAAAAGAAGGGAGACTAAGGTGATGGAAATTGAAAAAGGTAGAGCGAACAGAATAGGGTGGACACGAGGAGAAAGAAAGAGATAGAAAAAAGAAGAAGAGTAGGGGAGGGAGTTAGTTTAGAATAGCTGTAATTACTTCCCTGCCATCAGATACCATTTGATTAAATACCTGCAGCAGAATTACATTTACATGATGAATGGGACGGTCTGAATGAAGGTTAGAAATGGGCCATCAGCTGATATTAACAGATAATTGTGAAAAATATTGTATTGCCTAATTTATTTTGTTTAGGGAGATTTGATTTCGGAGCGGGGGGGTTAAGTCTTCAGCACAGCTCTGATTCACTACATTTATCTTTTCAAAATGGGTATTTGAATTGGGTGACTATGTTCTTTGTTATTGTGCGTGTGTGTGTGTGTGGTTTTTTTTTTTTTTTTTTTTTTTTTTTGCTGTGCGTGTGCTCGCATATGTGCAGTCCAATTATTTACCCTAGCCGAGGGAAAACAAGCTATTTATTCCTCTACCCAGCCAAGCGGCCTGTTGTAAATCTCCATTCCAAACTCTATATCTCATATTCACGACTCCATGAGCCTTGGAGAATGAGAAGCCCAGACTCTGCAAATACAGTAGGGCTCAAATACTATTTGAATCAAGTTATCATCAAATCCCAGCCCTTTGCAGTGACTGACGATCAATGGATTATCAACCACGCTATCGATTATGAGGGTTGGCATTAATATTGATTGATGAGTAGTTATAATGGAATGATTGATTATATGTTCACACAGAGGCTTTGGACCAATCAATGAGGCTTTTTATCACGGTATGAGATAGAAGCCCTCGCTTATCATTTTCACATTTTCCCATCTCCTTGTCCTTTTTTCTGTGGCACATCGGACTATTCGAGTAATGTAGAAAGACATAATGATTTTCCAGTCAAAATTATATTGGTGGCATAAAAAAATATTGCTGGGGTGTATTTCTAATGCAACTGTTTGTTGCAAAGTGTTTTGTGATATGTAATACACGCAGGACCCCAAGTTTCGTTTAATTATTCAGTCCAGTTGGCCTAAAAAAAAGGAAATGCAAAGAGTCTGTGTCAAATAATGTGTGTTAATGTTTTTACTACAAGAGGCAATGAGGAGGCATTGTTTTTTCTTAGGGCTCTGAGATCTTTTGATCTAGCTGTCCTTAGAGGTAAATGTGTTTGGCCACTTTGATCCATCTCATTTGTGGAGGCTTTCAGTCCCTGGGATTGTTGAGTAAGCCTGTGACCTAGAGGAGAATAGCCCCGGCATTGTCTTCGCTCGTCATATCTGTCAATACCCTAACAGCGCTCTTTCTCTCATTATTTCAGTCTCTGCCTTTTACTTCATCTTTTATGTTTTTTACACTCGATGCTTTTACCTTATAGTCTCACACAGTCTTTTTTTCCATTAACACAGTCTAACACCATCTCTTTCTTACCGTCACCTTTCTTCTTGTTCCTTCCATCCATCTTCAGATCCTTGTTGTCCACACCTACCACGCCATCTTTCCACTTCTCAACCTTGTCTCCAAACACTATAGCCACTTTCTAACCATGTTATCACCCTATCTTCTTACTCCTTCAATTCAGTGAATTAATTTTGATGTTTTAGGGATTTTCTGCTTCATTGTGCAGTGAACCACACACTGAAGACAACAAGAAACAATTGGAGGGAGATGAGGCAGAACTGCAAAAGACAGTTTTGATGGCTCCCTGCACTAAAAAACTTAGTATGCATGTCAAAACACCCTATAGCAAGAAAAGCTTAAAACTGTTTGCTTCTGAAGCATCAACAGAACACAAAAAGAAAATAAACAATTTACATGATATGCACTTCAAAAAAGCAATGTGGATACCATGTGGGTAATGCAGTGCAAACTGAGCAGGAAATGTGGCTAGTAACATATATTTGTTGAGATGTGTAGACAGAATATTAACAAGAGTCCAGCTGGTGTACTGTCTGGACCAAATCTTTGAAGCAGATTGTAGAGAAGGCCTGGGAACACAAAATGTTAATGTAAACAAAAAATGTTGCGTGAGAAGCATTTGGCTGATGCTTCAGATCTGCCACCTTGCATGCAAAATAAAAGATTAAAGAGTCAAAGTCAAGTGAGCGTGGTCAAGATACTCATGATACTGTACGTAATACACATAAAGATAGAGAGCTGATTTTTACTTTACTAATTTCTCCCCCAGGCGGCACAGCAGATCATTGAGCTGCAAGAAGCGGCACAAATTAATGCAGGGCTTCAGCCAGCTAACCTGGGCCGGAACACCAGCCTCCATGACATGAAGACTGTGGTGAAAACCTGGAGGAACCGACTGCCCATTGTTTCTGATGACCTGTCCCACTGGAGCAGTATCTTCATGTGGCGCCAGCACCACTACCAAGGTCCGACACACACTCCCACAGACCCGATACTGCCTGTCAAGTTTGATACCAGTGATGTTGTTATTTATGTTCACATGCATGACTTTTTACACATTGTACAAGTATTACAGGGTGGCACTCTCATGAAGACACTCTCAGATTGCTGCTTAGGTTTCTACTCGTTCCAGGAAGGGTTCTTCTTTAAAAGGCCACGATGTGCAGAACCCCCTCAGGGTCTCTGTACATTTCCAAATGTCAGCTTGCTAAAGCACTCTCTTTCTCTCTCTCACTGCAGGACATAACACACACACACATATTTACCTTGCTCAGTGCTCAGCTCTCTCCCGCGGTGACTTTGAAACCATTCAGAGAGGCAGCCACTGCAAAATGTGATGTCTCAAGCAACTTGAGCTCCAACTCGCACTGTGAGGCACTGAAATAATGATAGCGCTGGTCCTGCAGCACCATGCCAATAAAATCCACTTCATTTATACGTGACAGCCTTCAAACTTATGTTAAAGTGAAATGGAATTTTCTTGATGAAATTCATCGCCATGGCCCATTTACTGTTCAATACGTTTAGTGTCCCCAGTGCCCTCCTCTGCTCCTCTGACAGCTGAGCTTTCAGAGTGCTAGAAGATCCCTAATGTTCATACAGCTCTAAGCACTCCTCTTTTAGTTTACTTTTTCAAATGTGACATTTGCATAAAGAGAAAAGCCATGTTCATTACTGTTTTGTCTCTGTCCACAGCTATAGTGACTGCGTACGAGACAAACACACAGCACGATCCAACCAACAACAATGCCATGTTGGGAGTTCATGCCTCGGCTTCTGCTATCATTCAGTATGGCAAGATAGGACGCAAACAGGTACTGGTTTATGCTTGTGAGCCCTTTGTAGGCAGATAAATTCAAAACAAGTGTGAATCAATAAACAACATTAAGTTTATTTTTCCTCTAATAATTCCTTCTTTTTAATTGTGTTTGTGTGTTGCTTCCCCAGGGTTTGGTGAATGTGGCTCTGGACATCTTGAGTCGTATCCATACCATCCCCACAGTGCCCATTGTTGACTGCTTCCAGAAGATCAGACAGCAGGTCAAATGTTATTTGCAGCTGGCTGGTGTCATGGGCAAGAATGAGTGTATGCAGGTAAGAATATGACCTGTTCTTCTATACTATATTTTTTCAGCAGTTTATTTCTTTATTTAACCTATACACAATATAGACACACATATTTAGAAAATAAAAACTGAAAGCAGTGAAAGTGTGGCAATAAACAATAGTCGCACGTAATTGGTCTAATCTACCATACACTCCAGGATTGTTGGGTAGAACTCTGCCCATAATGAATAATATATTTCAAATGTCAGTGTGTTAACGAGTGTGTTTGTCATGTTAAAAATCACTTGGTTTTATTAACAACATAGCAACATAACATTTTTATTTCTGCTCGTAAGTAACTCATAAAATATTTTATTGGCAAAGTCACACACAAGAACGAGCAAAAGTCATTTAGTTTGTACAATCTAATTATGTGTCGTCAAAACATGATAAATTTATCATGCTCATGTAACACCTGCACCATAATGCAGCACAGCTGCAAGAGATTTGGACCGTGGTAATGCATGCTCCAATTTGAAATAAGCCAGCCTCTACTGAAACAACTAAAGGCCTCCGCACACCAACCCGATTATCGGCCGTCGGACCTC